ACAGGGATTAACAAGAACTATGCTTGTTGACTGGAGTAATACTAATAGTAATTGTGCTGGGGATTGAACCCAGGACATTGCGCATGCTAGGTGAGCACGTGACCTCTGAGCTGCACTAAGCACCCCTACTGCAACTAGTGACAAACACATTGAGGAGAAGGGGAAGAGTGTGCACATTACTTGAAGGACGGGCATTCCACAAATCAAAAAATACTTGCTGAATGTCAGCCAAGTTCCAAGGGCTGTGTTAGATATTATTAATACTTTATTTTTATGATCTTTGGTGAAACCAAGAGCTATGCTGCCAGGTCAAACTGGAAGGCAATTAAACCCAGAAGTCTCCAGAGACCTACGTCATCACAGCCTTTGCTGATCTCCTTCTGAAAATAAATATTTAAATATTTGGGCTTCACTGCTATCAACATATTAATATAATAATTATTAATTTTATAAGCTATATTAATATTTCATTAACAATACTGGAAACAGAGCTGGGTGTGGCAGCACATCCCTGTAATCCCAGACTCAGGAGGCTGAGGAAGGAGGACTGCCACAAATTTGAGGTTAGCCTGGGCTACATAGCAAGATTCATTCTTTCTTTCTTTCCATAGCAAGATTCACCCTTTCTTTCTTCCTTTCTTTCCTTCCTTCTTTCATTCCTTCCTTCCTTTTTCTTTGGTTTTTTGAGATAGGGTCTTGCTCTGTAGTGCAGGCTAGCCTTGAACTCACTATGTGGCCCAGACTGGCCTTAAAATAATCCTCTTGCCTCAGCCTCCTAAGTGCTGGGATTACAGGTGTGCACCACCACTCCCACAATAAGATCCTTTCTCAAAACACCACCACCAAAAAAAAAAAAAAAAAAAAAGATACTGGAAACACTAATAATAATAAATATTGTTACTTATTTCAAAAAATACATACTGTATATTGCATATACCTATAGACAAGTGTTGTGTTTCGTTTTGTTTTATTTTGGAGACTGGGTCTCCCTAAGTAGTTGAGGCTGGCCTTGAACTTGTAGCCCAGGCTGGCCTCGAATTTACAGTGACTTTCCTGCCTCAGTCTCCCAAATGCTGGGATTACAGGCATGTACCACCACGCAAGTACTGCCCATAAATAAGGTAATAAGCAGCAGATAATATTATTTAAATCCAATATGGCAAGAGGAAGTTGTATTTGATGATTCATTTCTGTCATTTCTACTAAACCACACTTTCTGGGCTTTGTCTTTGTGGTTTTTGCTTGTTTGGTTTTGGTATTTTTGAGACAAGGTCTTGCTATATATGTAGTTCAGGTTGACCTTGAACTCACTATGTTGCCCAGGATAGTCTCAAACTCACAGTGATCCTCCTGGCTCAGCCTCCCAAGTGCTGGAATTACATGCATGCATCACCATACTCCGGTGTAAATTTTTGACATGGTCACAGATTTTTTTTTTTTTTGAGACAGGGTCTTGCTATGTAGTTCAGGCTCACCTTGAACTCACTACATAGCCCAGGCTGGCCTTGAACTTCCAATGATCCTCCTGCCTCGGCCTCCTGACTGCTGGGATTATAGGTATGTGTCACCATTCCCAGCATGATCACAGATTTTCAAGAATGTTCTTCTCTGTCAGCAAAACTAACAAAGAAGCCCTTCCAAGGAATTCCTATTTCAGAGAACAATCTAACTTTTTATTTTGAGGTAAGTTCTCACTAAATCACTGAGTTATCCAGTCTAAATTCAAAATTGTAATTCTCCTGCCTCAGTCCCCAAGTCCTGGGTCTACAGATGTGTTCAATCATCCTCATTAACAAAAACTTTTACACTTACTAGTGTCAGAGCACAGATGAATAGGAGGCTTGAAAGAGGGAAAGTTTATCTTTCATGAATTTACAGAATCACTTCTGAGAACAGAAATACACAGAAAATCTTTCTTGATTTGGAGTGACGACTATAAATTTTTCATTTGGAAAATTTTACTGAGTTATATTTTTTCAAATGTGTACATTTCCAATTATAATTCAGTAAAAAGCTTTTTAAAAGGTAATGACATTAACAGTACTATGAAAAAAACATTTACAAATGAGAATTCAGAAGAACTAGTCACTGTTAATAATAAAAGCTGTAATAATTAACATGTATTAAGCAATTACACACTAGGCGCTGTCTAAATAAACATTTTACATTTCTTTCTTTTTGGGGGTGGAGGGTTTGAAACAGAGTTTTGCTATGCAGTTCAGGCTGACCTTAAACTCATTTATGCAGCCCAGGCTGGCCTCGAACTCACAGCGAACCCCCTGCCTCAGCCTCCCAAATGTTGGGATTTATAGGTTTGCACCACCATCCTCAGCTAACATTTTATATTTCTTTTTTTTTTCTTTCTTTCTTTTTTTTGGTACAGGGAATCAAACTCAGGACTTTGTGGTTGCCAGGCAGGTGCTTTTGCCACTGAGCTATATCCCTGGCCCTTTATATGTCATAAAGCATTCCAATATGCTACCTTGGTTTCTTCCTATCTCACGAGTTACTCCTCATCTGTCTTTCTCCCCATGGTTCTTTTAGAGACAGGGTCTTGATATGTAGTCCAGTTTGCTGGCCTCGAACTCACAGCCTCCTGAGCTCTGGTATTACAGGTATGGTGGACTGACAACTGGTGGTCAACTTGTAACACCCAGCTTAACTGAATCAGCGTGGTGCTGGGTGTGGGAGGCCCACCTGAGGATTGTTGTATAAGAGGCAGAACTGGAGAAGAAAGACGGAGGCTGTTGGGAGCTGAGGGGCTGTTAGAAGCTGTAAAGAGCTGTTGGTTCTCTTAGAGGAGCTTGTCATGCTGCTTTCCTGATGAACTCAGCTGTTTTCATCCTCCAAGGAGCTCGGGACCTGTCGGCGCTAAGAACAGCTTCGGTTCACTTTGGGGGAGCTTTGGTCCTCACTTTGAGCATCGCTTCCTGGCTCTGGAGGGGAAGATGGTGCACTGCACGTCTCCTGGAGAAGTGCGCTGCGTTGGCTTTCCTGATGGGAACTCGGCTTTCCTTATAATCAGAGGAGCTCAGACCTCACTGTTGCTGAGGATAGCCGTGGTACTTTTCAGGGGAGTTCTGGATCTTACTTTGAGCATCACTTCCTGGCTCCAGTTCAGATCCCTCAGCCTGCTAGCACAGATCCTTCATCCCGCTGGCACAGACTTTCTAGCTTCCACCACTGACCTTCAGGCCTTCCCAGCATACTCATGAAACAGGCCTGCATGCAACATTGTCATGAGCTCTAGGTCTTCAGCTGGACTCATGCAGGACATTACCATGGGATCCTGGCCCTCAGCTGGATTCTTTTGCTCTTAGTGTGTGGACAGATTTCCTAAATTTTTTGTGTATGATTCTCTGGGTGATTATTATAAGATAATCTTGTAAAATGTGTCCTGTATTACACTGTTCCCCTTGCAAAACCCAAACCATGACAACAGGCATGTGCCACCATGCCCAGCTCTCCCCACATTTTAAAAGCGAAACGCTCTAGGGCTCAGCCCCCAACACTCTTCTCTAGCCATACTCCTTATAACAGGTCCTACTATTATTCCTCCCATTTCACAGATGGAAACACTGCAAGAGAGTCAAATCTACACTCTCAAGACTACAGAGCCATACTCTTACCCTCCTCACCATTCTGATTTGACTTTCCATATCAGAGGCAGGACATATATGTTATACATAGTCCCCATCCAGTGCCTTCATTAATTGAGAAGAGAGACATAAATGAGGCACATGGAACCCTCCTAACACCAGGTCCACACCGTGGGAAACAAAAATTTCTACCAATTCTGCTAAGCAAGTTTCTTCCCTAAGTTTCTCTACTTTGTACCTCAGTTCTTCTCAAGGAGAAATGTAAACACCATAGATTCTCAAATCTTGATGCTTATGAGAATAATCTTTCAAGACAGCAGATAGGATCTGGGGGGGGTTGTGTATACTTCTAATTTCAGCTACTCTGAAGGTTGAGACAGGAGAATCACAAGTTCATGGCCAGCCTGAGCAAATTAGTGAGATTTCGTCTCAAAATAGAAAATAAAAAAGGAACTGACTTGGTGGCACATGCCTATAATCCTAGCATTCTGGGAGGCTGAGGCAGGTAAGTTTGAGCTCAGCCTGGACAATTTAGCAAGAGTCTGCCTAAAAAAAAAAAGAAAGAAAAAATAATTAAAAAGGGCTGGGGCTCTAACTGAGTGAGTCCTAAATTCATTGGCCAGGACTAAAAAACAAACAAATACACAGATAAACTTGATCTTACCCAAAAGGCTGAGAAACAAAAAATTGAAAAATGCCTGGGGATGCAGTTTAGTGGTAGAGCACTGGCCTAGCAGGTATAAGGCCCGAGACAAATTCCAGATACTAAACACAAACAAAAAACAGATGGGATCCATGCACCCCTATCAAACCTAGAAGATTCCAGGAATCTGTGTTTCCAAGAAATATTCAAGCACATTTGGAAACTCATACCTCTGCCTGAATTTGGAAAGCCTTTGTTCTAGAGGTCTTTGGTCCTTGGAGGATGAGTAATGACTATCGTATAGTTATCTGCTTACCAGAGATGAAATGTGAATGGAGATGTTACTTGTTTAAGTAATAAGACCCATCAGGAAAGTGCAACAGTGACCATGGGACTACAAATGAGGACAGCAAACATTTCCCGGGAGGTCAGGGAATTTGTTGCCAGGAAGAAAAGCAACCCCGGGATGCCCTCCCTTGACTTAGGAGGGAGTCATCCAGGGAACAAGGAGCAGTTTAACATCTGAACATCCACACTCTCAGAGCACTCACCAAGTGTTATGAGGGAATAAGGGGTGTTAAGGACATGGGCACTGTCTCCAGGCAACAAAGGAAGCATCATTAATGCTGTTAGTTTTGTATAAACATAAACACATGTAACATCTTGCTCACATACACAAATAACTCTTATGCAGACCCGTAAGTGCTGAAACTAAGGCACAGGCAGCAGCCACCTCCACATGTTTGCGGAACGCTTACCTCTGTAAGCGCATGCAGCTGTCCTTGATGTACACACACACCCATGAACCTGAAAAACAAAACAGATCTTTAAACAAAATGAAAAGGACGTGAATATAAAGTCCATACAGAGAAACTAGCTGAGTTACCCAGGTACAAGAAGCAATCCAATACCTGTGGAGCCCCAAGTTCCTGTTTGATTAACCTCCTTAAGATGCCACACTGATAAATTTCTCAATTTACCGTGAAACACCTGGTTGTACCAATATGTAGAAGCAAAACCAATGGTGGAAAGGGAGCTTAGTAAACTTTTAAAATGAGGGGACTGGGGGCTGGGGATTTAGCTCAGTGGCACAGCACCTGCGCAGCAAGCGCAAGGTCGTGAGTTTGATCCCTGGTACCGGAAAAAGAACATAAATAAATAAATAAATAAATAAATAAACAAACAAACTTTAAAAATG